GAAAACTCGGTCCGAGAGATAATCGGAGGACAACTGACCGATGAAGAAGCGCCCAGGAATCTTTCTGTTCTTCCAACCGAATTCTTCCAACTTGGTCAACCGGAAAACTTACACGGGGGAAAAGGATCGTGCGGAGGAACGAGAAAAATTCGACGAAACATTTCCGTTATCGCGACTGGTAATACTTGTCTCGACTGCTCGAAAACGCGGTTGAAATAATTGACTGATTAGGAATTTCTACAGGTACATTTTTTCGTCCCTGCAACCAATTTTCCGTCTTCCCGGTCTTCCCGGAAAATTCACTTACACCAACGGACTTGCTTTTCCCGCCTAACGTTGCGCGAAGAATAAAACGACGAGCAGGACAGCAACGGCGATGGGGAACGATTCCGGCGGACCTCCCGGTCCGTAGATGGGTAGATGGGAGACCTCCGTAATTTTCAGCGAGCCGAATTATCGCGAGATGATCACAATCGGGCGCGCACCGATTCATGCCCCCGGCGCCGCCGCGCCGCGCCGCCTCTCCTTCATGGGCGCGCGCGGCTCCATTTATTATTCTATTAAATTCGTAGTTTCCCGTCGGGGGGTCCCCACCCCTGCCTACAGCTATCTCTCACTCACGACTTAATGCGATATTCATACCGAGGCGAGCGAATGGACCGGCTGGGGTTCGCCGGGCATACGCCGTGTCGTAATTAAGCCGGACACCGCGGGATCCTCCCGCGTGCTTTTTCTTATCACCGCCCGAGGCGACCGGCCGGGCGCTTTTATCTATCTTATCTACGGCACTAGTTGCAACAAAGTTGCGACTGCAATATCCGCCGACGATCGATCTTTCTTACTGCTTACTGCCGCTGCTGCGGCGGCGGCGGCGGCGGCGGCAGCGGCGGCAGCGGCGGCGGCAGTTGCCGCTGCACGGTGCGTCGGCACCTGTAATTATTTTAATGGTCGTTCGAACGATGACAGCGTGCACTACTGTAATTACCGTGCCGGTGGGATTGCGTTAACTTAATATATAACAAATGGGCAGCACGCGTTACCTAGAGCGATAAGTAACGGCGCCAGACGCGAAAGGGCAGGGCCGGCTGCGCGTAACTCAAGGCACGGAACGAGAGCACTCCACCCACGCGAGAATCATTAGACAGTGAGGAAACGTCGTTGTGGAGGAACCGTCTTGTAATGCCGACCGCGCCGGTCTACGACACGACGGTCGCCAGTGCGCCCGAGATCTTGCGCGCCGATAGGTTGACAAAAAAAAGCAGCGGTAATTAGAGAAAAATCGGAGCGTTAAAAGTGCGGCCGAGGTGACTGTTTTATCCGCTTCGCCGGCTAACAGCCAGCCCTGCGCGTTGAAGAAAGGTCACACCCGTTACACCTTACCGCATGTAAATGCAGACCTGTTTCTTTGACATTCTCAGGACATCTGTGAACGCGAGATATCTCGAGGATCTTGCGCTATATGTTATAAGATATATCTCATAAGATCGAAACGTACAGTCCAAGGATTACGTTAAACGTTTAAAATATGTGCGTTATCGGCGATCAGAAGTGGAAAAAGTCCACGCAGTGGAAAAAGACCACGCGTTGCGTTACAAAACACGCATGTCAATTCGTAGCTCCTTGCGATTCGCACGGAACTGTGTGTTCGTGTTCGTCGAGAGAAATTTTCCCATCGAAAACCACCCGATTTTGTCGAATCGTCAAGCATCCCGATAGTTCTGAGAGTCACAACAGCACCCGATTTCAGACGTGAAAGGATATCGCGGTCGGTGCTGAGTGTACATAATGTTTGACCTCCTGCAGGTTTCACGCGGATTTATTCTCCGAAAATGTCAGCTGAAAGAAGGATTCACGCTCACGATCGCGCTATATGAGAGGATATCTTTCTCTCTCTCTCTCTCTCTCTCTCTCTCTCTCTTTCTCTCTCTCGCAAGGCACATATAGAGTGAAACGAGTTTAACTGGGTCTTTCGTGACGAGCGCTTTACTCCCGGGCTAAAATAGACTCGAACAATGAGACGTATGGATCTTCCCTCATTCCAACGGGAAGTTTGATAAGTTTTATCGAGAATGAATTAAGATTATTATCTTAATGTCTACGGTATTGCTGGAAATTTATAATGTTTACCGGATCAGATATTTATAATATCTATGTAGATGTGATGCGAGTCCAGGCCCGGGGTTGAACTATCGGGAAATAAATCGAATTCAAAATAAAGATTTCAAGAAGTCAGCTTGCTGTCAATGCACTCTGTACACTGGAAAGCTCACCGTACGAGACACGAAGAGAAAAAAGAGACCGGTGGCTTATCTCGTATCTTCCTTTATCTCGTAAATTTTCATTGGTCAGCGCTTTTCTACGATTCTTACCGCAAACTTCCTCAGCTTTACTGACCCCAATAAACTCCCTCATCAGTGTAGAACTTGCTATCACACATCTTTACGCCTGATGTGTCGCTGAATGCGCAGCCGACGTTTCCAGCTCTGGCTATGCTCTTCTCTCTGCTTTGGCTCGTTCTCTCCCATGTTTGAACGAGTCTTCCAGTGCAGCAGATGCAGCAACGTTCGCAAAGCAAACGCGTGCGCGTGCACAGCACGCTGAAAGGGCGACAGCTTGAGAGCCGCGGTGGCGGGGGCGGCGGCGTCCGTCGCACGTTGATAACACAATTAGCTTGTCTCGTCATGCGCGACCTCCGATAAGGGCCTCCTGCCGCGCTCTCCCCGTCGTCCTCTCTCCCCCCGGCCCTTATCCTCCTTCTTCGCCCACATCGCGCGCGCGGCCGGCAACGTGCAAGCGGCAGGATTGCCGGCGGATCGGCCGCGTCAGGCAGGATCAGGCGGGACAAGAAGATCCCCCGGGACCACGCGGCGTTTCAGGGACGCGATAAGGGCGTCGGCTTAACCCTCTCGGACGCGAAGAGCCCCCCGCGACGTTAATACCTTCCGGCAGGTTTTCCTCGGTTGATTTATTCCGGAGGGGCCCCGCAGTTCGCGGCGCCGCATGATACATACGCGCGCATAGGCGGATTTATAGTGAGGGGCACGGGGACGCGACGCGCACGGTGGCCCGAACGGAGCGGCTTGTAAATGTCCGTATATGCGAAAAAGAAGGAAAAGGACGGCGCGCCGTCGCGGTCTGCGCACCACCTGAGCACCGATCCCGTAATTGTTTTTTCGTCCCTCGCTAATCTCGCGCGAGCTCTATCCCGTTCGAAAGAGTTCCGCCGAAGGACGATCGCTTACGTGGTCGCCGAGAATTTCGAAAAATTCGAGTTCGCCGCACGGACGAAACAAATTGGACTCGAGTCAGCGTGACGAACGAACTAAACGTATTTCGATCAGGCGAAACGCAGTTTTTGGTTTCTAGAGCTAGACAAATTTTGCATTTTTCGGTCTTCAACCGAGACACGGTTGGTTCACTCATCGTCGAGTTCATTCGATCGATCCTCTTTCTTCTTGCAGATTTCTCGTTCCTATTTTTCCTCTTTACACGTTTCTATGTTTTTCTGTATACCCGTAGAAAAACTGTCGAATCCGCCTATGTAAGCACGTGCGACGACGGACACTGTCGGAGTTGTTGAGAGAGTGGTCACTGCGGCACGTGCCATTTGGCCACGCGATCGTTTCGACCGTTCGCCCGTGCGAATCATTAAAAAATAATTATTTTTATATCGAGGTCGTTTATGGGTTTCCGCTTCCGACGGGAAACCGCCGATGCCGGGTCCACGTGCCAGATCTCTCTCCGTCGCACACGTGCACGAGCCGCTGATGCGTCCTGCAAAGGGTCGCGATCGTGACCCTTTTCGCGTGGATATTCGTGTTTATGGGGATGCAGGATGGACCCCCTTCGAGGGAGACACTTTGACGAATCGTATAGCCCAGATCGTAAACGGCACCGAGTGCAGGGAGAGTCGGGGAAAATTCGTCCCTGTGATCTGCGCCTTTAGCAAGCCTAATGTCACGCTTTCATTCGGCTTCAATACGTCGCTTCGTTTCGTCAGCCGCTGGAACGATCACGACTCGACATTAATCTTGTGCTTAATTTTTTTCCCCCTTTTTTCCGCAGATCTTCCCTTCCACGTTCCACGCTCGAAGATTTCTTTTTTACCACCACGGCGTGAGGGAGAAAAAGGGACTTTTTCACCGAGACACAGGCGGTTGCGCCGGGCTAGTTGTAGCGACCTCATCGAACTCTTCCGTGAACTCGGAAAAAGCAGAGAATTCGAAAAGAAAAAAAGAAGAGAGACCAACGGGTGGCTGGAGAGAGCGTGCACCGCGGTGCCGTAGGGGGTGGAACACGGTGCGGTAATAGCATAAATCCGTGGACTGTGTAGTCGGTTCCCGATGGCCGCGAGGAGAGGGGAGGGACAGGCCGGAGGCAGGCCGACTGTTGGAAGAAACGACAGTCGCCACTCGACGCCTGCACCGAACGGAAGGCAGCTCCACGCAAACGCGAACACTCGGCATTTTCGAAACCTTCTCGATCGTGCGCCGTTGTTGTCTCAACCAAGGAGGAGGAAAGTCTGTCGCGGCGACATTTCAATCGCGAACAATCACCCGCCAAATACATCGCGCCGCAAACAAATACGCGCGCGCGCGCGCGTGCGTCTGCCTCGAGAAGGTGAAGAGGAGATCAGCCGTTTTGCTGCGACAATTTTCCCACTTGGAAACAGTGCGAAACGATGAAACGTCGCGGGTTCGTTCTAGATCCAGTGTGAACTCTCCAGAGGAGAGGGGAAGAAAAAAGAAGAGAGAGAGAGAGAACTTGCGATACCGCGATCGAGAAGGGATCGCGATCGATCGGCGAGCGGAAGCGCTTCTTCCGGTCGGCGCGAATTTCGACGGATTGCGTCGGGCGATTGCGCGCGATCTCTCTCTCTCTCTCTCTCCCCTCCTCCTCCTTCTCTCTCTCTTTCTTTCTCTTTCTCTCTCTCTCTCTCTCTCTCTCTCTCTCTCTCTCCCTCTCTCTCGCCAAGAGGAGATCGAAGAGACTCTCTTGTATTCGTCGTTCCGCCGGCGTGGTCCGCTCGGCCGGAGCAGCGATTCGCGCGCGAGCGCGAGCGCGAGCGCGACCGGGAGCAGCGCGACTCGTGAAAGTGCACGACGGTGGCTCGTCGGCCACGAGGACACATCGATCGAGGCAGCAGACGTCGATCTGTCAGTCGAACAGGTGCGAGCCGCGACGCAACGAAAACAGTCGCTGGAACGAGAAGAGAGGACAAGACTTGTGAAGTGTGCGAGCGAACGGTTTCGTTGTTTCATCGAATATTGACTTTGGATAAGGAGAGACGGACGAGATACACGTTGTGTACATAAGCACATTGAAACGTAAACGAATCGAACGGATGTGCGATAGTGCAATCGAAACGGAAATAATTTTGGGAATACGCGCGTGAACGGATCGTCGGCCGTTTTGACAGACTGAAGAGAGAAAGTGACGTTCGACATTTCGAGTGAGATCGCTCTGAAGACAGAACGAAGAGAGAGAGAGAGAGAGAGAGAGAGAAAGAGAAAGAGAAAGAGAGAGAGAGAGAGAGAGAGAGAGAGAGAGAGAGAGAGAGAGGAGAAAAAAGAGAGAAAGACGGGTGGTCCTCGAAACTGGTCCCAGCGACACGTGACACTACCGAAGCCTGTGCAATCGTGAAGGAAGACTTTGTGCGCGAGTGTGATACATTCGAGCGCTTCCTCGCTCTTCTTCAGTTATTCCGTGAGAAAGTGCGGGTCCAGCAGGAGTCGCAGGAGCAGGAACACGCGGTGCGTGATTATTAATTGACGATCAGGCTGCGAGGGAGGCGAGCCAGGGAGGAGAGAAATTTCGCAACGTGACGACGCATGAGGGGAGAGAGGAAGGAGAGAAGGCCGTGTAAACACGCGCACGCGGGAAGAGACGCGATAAATTGATACCGTTTTATCGGATATCAGCGAGAGAAAACGAGACGGAGACGGACTGAAGAGGAGAGAAAGAGAGACAGAGAGAGGGAGCAACGGGCCTTGCTTCCCGGGCGATCCGAACGTGGTAAGTGCGTTGTTTCGTTTATATACATGTAGATGTAAACACGGCGGTGGAAACGCGCCGCCGGTGCTAGACAGAAATCGATTCTCTCGATTGGTCCTCGCGGATATCGCGAATGTGACGTATCTTATCGCGAGACTGCGCGTTGAGATGATCAAAAACAGTTCTCGGCGTTTTGTCGGAGGCGAGGCCGAAGAGAGAATGTCCAGTTTACAGGGGAAAAACAACCCCAGTGTAACTGAGTTTTCCGTTGCCTGGGAACGGACAGGGAACGAATGGAAAATTCGGTTGCAGGTACAGAAAGAATTTCTGTAGTTTCCTGATCAGTTCAATTGTTGTCGATTATCTCAACTGAATTTTTATACAGTCAATCGTTTAAACGTTGTTTTCGTTCTTTCAATGATAGTGTCATTATTGTTGTCGTCGCGCAGATATACTATACGGCAGGAGAGATGCGCAATGACAAAACATAACAACAATGACATTGTCGTTAAAAGGTACAGAACAAGGCTGCTGGCTTCTAATTTCTAATAACATACGATCTCAGATCTTTCTCCCCGCGTGCTATTTCTTCTACAACATTACAAATTGATCCGATATTTCTTCGCAAAGTTATCTCGCAACGTCCATGATGACGTAACGATTTTATCGCATTTCGAAGTTCGTCCGCAGATTTCGCAATCTGCGCGTACACGAAGAGTTCAGAGCTCCACTGGTGTTACTCCGAAGTGTTGCTCGAATTTATGTTGAATGTTGATGCATCGCTGAAAAATTTGCGCGACACAATCATAATCGCGATATAATCGCAACGAATCGGCATTTGACGTCGATCGGCGACGTAACGCGGAATCGGCCAAAGTAACCGATTAATTAATCACGCGGTGCGTGAGTGCGCGTTTATGCGTCTGCTTGTAAACAAATGATGCGGAATCAGGCTGAAAGCGCGCTTGTTGATACACCGGTCATTCTTTTGCGTAATTACTCACCTTCGCGATCGTCGCTCATTAATACGAGATACGCTGCGCTCAGCGCGAAGGAAGGTGCCGTGTAATTAAATTCCCTTGTGTCCGACAACAATTACGCTCGTTAACGGAGTGCGCTCTTCGCGGTTCTCAATTACGACGCGAAACGCAGATTTAACCCTTTAACGGCGAAAACTCGCTCCTCGATCACGTAATACCGTGCGTCCGGAAAGGAGAGGAGAGGAGAAAACGCGCGCTCTATAAGTCGCGATGTGAATTTGATATCGATCGAATATATCGATGTTGCTGGAGGATCATACGAACGAAAACGAACTACGTTCGAAAATGAAGCGCCGGACAAGCCGCGCGGTAAATAGAGACAGAGAGCTTTGACGAGCCAATAACGCGCAGCTCTTAGCGTAAAACACGCGACGTAGGTAGGTTCAATCGCGTCGCTGACATCGCCGGCCATTCGCGGAGTCGCAGCAACGCGCCGTGGAATAAAACTACTTCGCGCACGTTATTGTGCAACGAAAATTACTCCATTTAGCATACTCGTTACTCGCCATTGAACGCGAGGACGGGCAATTATTGACTTTTGTACCTTTCTCTTCGCCGTTGGATACATATGTATGTGTGTCACGCGATGAAATTCAACGCGGAACGAACTCCGGGCGGGATCGTGAAAAAAGCATCTGTCAGAGGTCATACTTAAAGAGTGAGGGAAGTCGATTGGAAAAGCGGCTAAGCAGCGCTGTTCATGATCGCGAACGGCGATGGACATTTGATCGGAGCAACGACTTTTGGCCCGAGTCCAAGGTGCGCGGAGGAAAAGTTTGGTTGGGTAAATTAACGTGACAATGGACGAACGAACGCGCGTCTCGGCTGAAGGACGTAATTTCCAGTTCCAGTCAAAAGCGATTCTACTTCGTAGGGACCAGGAATTCCGTTTCTTTCGACGAAAATGCGTTGGACTCGCTCATTGTCACGCTGATTCGACCAAGCTGCTTTTTCCGTGTGCACCTGCGGGATATCTCACAGAGAACGTGAAGCAGAATGCTCAAGCAGAATGCGCAACGTTCTCTTTAGCTAACGACTCGATAGCAATTTGGTTGGTCCAGCGGTGGAAAAAAACCACTGTCGAAATTTCACCGAGCGAGCGCCTCGTTCGATGGAACGGCACATTGATTCTCCGCGGGAATAAATGTTTCATCTCTTTGTCTCCGATCGCGGCCTAGAGATTAACATGTATGCCGACTCGTCTAGCGATTGAATAAACCAGAGCGATCTCCCCGAAATATTTTATTGGATCGAAATACGAATAGTACGTGCGCTCTCGTGTATCGGAGTTCGATCGCTCCAGTCCAGTTCGGCTGGCGAGGTCACCGATACCCGGTTAACGGAGGTCAGGATCCGCGTTCAGGTCAGGCCGTGAAGAAGCCAATCCAGATCAAAGTAGATTACCATCACATGGCGATGTCAACTTCTCAAGACGGTCGGCTCTTTGAGGTTTCAGTGCAGCGTGCTCGCTCGGCCGTGCGTCGTAGTGCGATTCATGTATATATATCAACGTCAAATTGCTAATATAATAATTAGCAATATCTCGACGTATGCCTAAGTAATTAGCAATTTACTTCTACCCTTTCTTTTCTACGATCAGTTAAAATCAGCTAGAATCAGTTTATTAATGCGAGTCTAATTTAGATCCGCTCGTGGCAGGGAACTTGGGGGAAACTTATAATTTGCTATTCTAATTCGCTATTTCTGAGATGTTTAAAGGTTATTCGCTCAAGTGCGTATGAAGTCTTGGAGCTACCCGTGCAACTGCGTCGTAGCGGCACTCTCCGATGAGAACCGATCGTAACATTGCGCCCCGACTTCGATCTCGATCGCGTAATTCGCAGATTCGTCTCGCGCGTTCGGCGCTGTAACGACGAAAGTGACACAGTCCGGCTTTTGACCGTGACACTCTTCTTTTCGGGGCTTTCCAGTGCGTCAATGAGCAGAGACTGGTGTTAATATGGAGAAACCCTTTGACGAGAGTCCACCGTAACAGAGTTGATTTCTCTCTGCAGATGCCAAGTCTTGTCCTTTAGCGCGCGATTTAAAGGGAGCGAGGGCAAAGGATTCTCTTTAATTCAGGCTCATCTGGCGCCTGTCTCGACTCAACTGTCGATATCGTCTTACGTAACTTCAAGTCGCGTCTTCCTCTTTCTCTTTTACATCTTTCACCTAGTTCTGGACGTTATATCACGTAATCGAACGCCCCACCCGAATCGTGCCGACCTCGGACAGCCGCATTCAGGACGAGCGATTTCAGCGCGAGCGTCCCGCGCAGAAAATAACCGAGCGTCCGTTTCTGCAAATCTTGTCCACATGGAAAACGCGCTGTTTATCCGCGTGTGTCGTGTGCGGGAGGAGAGTCATCCGGACTCAGATTTACCCTACATCGTTGCCCTTCCCATTAAAGGCAGCAGCTGCGTTTAGACGATTGGTACGGAGAGAAGAGCCCGGCGGATCTGCGCTCATAGTACCGTGCCGGCGCGGATAAGAGGGACGGGTCAATAATTGTGACAGAAATTCAATCCTTTGCAAGCTGGACCTAATGCCCACCACTGACCGCCAATTCAATCAAGCGCCCGCCAATCGCGGCCCCCGGAACGGGATTTTAGTCGGTGCGCAGCGCGCCGAGGGATTTCGTTACGGTCCGCTGCCGCCAAATAAAATTCCGTGGAACGCGCGCGGGCCGAACGAAAATAGGTATTAACTACTCGATGGCGTACTACGTGATGGCTCCCAAACACTCTCCTATGTAAATCGTTCGCTAACGTCCGTCGGAGCGCGACAAGAGCGTTCGCCGATTGTCGGCGAAATGGATGAAAAATAAATTAAATCGCGCACGCGCGCGCGGATGGGATCAATGACACGCGCGTGAGGTCACGCGGAGGAAATTTCGGGGGTTTCGAGATATCCTACCGGCGAGGTCTCGCGAGTTGGCGGTCAGCCGAGAGTCGAAATGTGCGAGTACTTATTTTTCTCGGCGAAAAAACATTCCAAGACTCACATTTTCGCGTATTCCTGCCTTCGGAACATTTTCTCCGGTGTTTGATCACTCGAAGAAGAATGCAGGTGTCTGTTCTCATAACTACACATGTGTTATGTGAGGCCGGTGACTCTACAAATTAATACAAGTGTCTCGCGCCGCGCGAGATGCGTCTCTCGCCCTGCTGCGCGCTCGGCCTCTCTCGACGTTCTCAATTGAAATTACTTAGAAGCATCTAAATGCGGAAAGCATCGCAATTTCGCGGCGCGATGCACTCAAGACGCTTCGTCGCACGTCGCGCCGGTGCGAGTTCCTCGTCGACGGACGCGCGGACGTTCACGCTCCCGGAGCGAAATGCAGGAGGCGATGACACGCGCGTTCGTGATGTTTTCCCGCGCGGAAAGAAACGTCCAGCAACGAGCCAGGAAGTGGCGAGAACGGCGCGACGTTGCGGTACATCGTCGCAGTACGCGCGTACGCGCGTGTAACATCGTGACGCGTTAACGTTATACCGCGCGCGAGGACGATGTTAACATCGAAACGATATACGACATCGCGCGCTCACGATTGCGGCTCAAATGCTCCGCTCGACGATACTTCCGCTGTAGCGGAGCGCCGCGAAAAGTGGAATTTTCCGTGCATCGCAACATCGCGCAATGTAGTCGCGTTGTGTCGCGACGCATTAGTCGACGCGACGCGATTTCGATGTTGTGGCTTCAAGTACGAAGATAAGCGATTTAGAAGCGCGACTTTTTCAACTCCTCAGCGACGATTTACGGTCTGCCGGATTGACGAACGTACGAATTTTCGTACATGCACATCCCGCATGTCGCGTCGTCAGCTGATCAAAAACAATAACAGTATTCGGAGCCGAGTACTTTTACTCGTATCGCGACTACAAGTGTCGCCGCGGTCGACAATTAGTTGCGCGACTTGAGACATAGCCGACAATTACCGACGAAGTCAAATCCCCCCGGCTCATAATTTCACAACATTTG